TACAACAAGGACAAAAGCGGGGGATTTGCACTGAAGCTACGGGTACTAATACTGTGCCAACGGCAGCTCGGAGCCACCCGGTGAAACCCGACAGAAACTGGGCAGCGATTCAGCTGATTATCTGAGATGGACTGAATACAAAGGGACAGTCGTGTTCTCCTCTGTATAATTTGGGTATACAGAAGGAGACATTTCCTCACACTTTCGAGTACACCGAGGATGCCGAGGCCCCTCTTAACTACCGTCAATTGCTGCAGAAGGCTGTTGAGGCAGGATTGGCAGCCTTCCAGTAAGGAAATGTCGTAGTCAGCCTCATTACAGAAAAGTCCCATAACTCTTCTCTGTATAGCGAAACGCGATGATGATACACACCCCACAGCTAACCAGTGTCGCCGACTTCTCTCCAGCCAACACATCACTTTTGCTGGTGCTGTATTATGTTAACATTTGTTCCAGCAAAAAACATACCCTCAGAAGGAAACCGAGTGGCAAACAATCTGGAACAAAGTCGACAGTTCTAATTCGACAGATCTTCTCGGATCTGAGGGCACTAGAATCGGCTGCGTTATTGGAAGGTGTGTCGCAGTAACTACTGGGACTGATCCGCAACCAGATCAAACAGGCAGGAGCGACCCAAAAGGGCCAACTGAAACTGTAACAAATGAGGCTGTGCTTTTCTGTAAACTAAGCCCTGTAACGGCGAAGGTTGCAGCCCCCTTTAAGTAAGTATTGGGTTTCTGAGCGCAGCCGCCAGGAAGGGTTGGCAAAGTTGTCTAGAAGCAATAACCAACAAAGCTGGTGATGTGCTTTTTGACGCTGTGCGTTTTTCTGCTTCATTTTCTTCCCTGCAGTGAGGAGTAGTTCAACGGACGTATTGCACGAACAACTGCATTGAAAGATATGACAGCAAACGAGCTGCAGACTCCTGTTGGAGATGGCGCTGAAGTAGCTACCGTCCCTACCATTGTAATTGCAGGTTTGGTTGCTATGCTGGCAGTCTTCTCTGCCTAGAAAGGCAAACTTCCGTTAGCTGGCTGGATAGCCACCGCCTTTGCTCGTCAACTGGTCTGCAGAGCACTTTCTCAACCACGCCACGCTTGTAAGCTTCAGGCTGTGAAACTTGAAGAAAGAGCAGTAGACTGTGCAAAACAATTAAGCTGATTATTTTTAAAAAACTAATAAAACAAAATGAGCATGAAGGATGAAGATTGAGACGGAAGGGGAGATCTGGTGCGGACCGGTTTGTCCCCGAGGCTGGGCACGCAGCCCCTGGGCGGCGAGGTCGCCACAGACTCGGTGGATTTCCAAGTCAATTCGGGTTTACACACAACTCGAAGATAAATGAGTAGAGGACAATCAAAAATGAGGATAATAGGGGGAGATAGCGGTAGGGCCCGACGTTTACGGTAATGCTAGGTGAAGCCAGA